TTTGAACGGGATGACCACAAGCTTTTGGAAAAAGTCACACAAATTAGCATAAAGTGAGATGACTTCCTTGCTAGTAGATTTAGTTAGATTTGCTTCAAGTTATCGTATGAAGTATGAGTGCTATAGGTACTATCTCGTCAAACGACACGGTATTTTGATAGTTAATTCACCAAAGCTCTGTCAACAGTATTTCAATGCTACAATTTAAGCTTCCACGAATGTGAACTTCCAACCATTTTTATGTAATCAAAACAACTCAAGGATGTTACTGACGTTGAATAAGATACAAATTTTGCGGACGTTTGCAGACCTACGATTTGTAATTGTGTAAGCGTGTACTCCCACAATTGAAATTATCGCTTTATTATCAGTACTTACAATCTGCTATTCTCAGATTCACAAGGCTCACATGTTCACGCGTTCCAGTTAATAAATTAATAACGTATAGAGAAATTGAGATTTTCAAACACCAAAGGAAAAACCTTTGCTTACCTTTAGTGTCACAAAAGCAATGTTTATGCCCCGTGTCCAAGACAAGAGAACATACTGTACAGAGTAGCTTAACGAATGCAAAGACGGCACACACAAAAAAACAAAAGTTGGAAACTGTTGCTTTCAACAGGATGGTGCACCCTTGCACAACGTGCGAGAATACCTATCGGACAAATTTCCTGAAACATGGAAAATATGTCCAATAGCACTTAAATCACAATGCTGTAACGTAAATTTAATTACGTGATTTATTTTTGTATACCTTGAGACGGAAATTAAATACAATTCAATTTACTTATTATTATTATTATTATTATTATTATTATTATTATTATTATTATTATTATTAAGTATAGCAAACATAAAGCTTCTAGAGGGTTCTCGAATCAGCATATATTTGTTTTTCGTATGGCCGGTCCTTTAGCGACTTGATGGCGCCTTCGTATCCCTCTAGAATATTCGATTGAATTCCAAATGCAGAAAAAGACAATTCCTCATATTTTGGCAAATGTCAAAAATAACTATGTGAGTAACAGAAGCGACGTTCTGCAATAAATTATCGCTGTGATAAAAGATGTGATTTTCACCAATTGAATTGATGAATAGAGCCTCATTTTATTCATGCGATTATCTCGTCATAGGTAGGTAATATCATAAGTGACAGGAAAAGTTTTCGAGTAGCGATAACGAGATTACCTAATTATTACCTAATTAAAGTTGTAATTGGCAGTTACGATATTTAAAATGTTAAATTTATAGAAATATCACGGATTGCACCAACTAGCTCAATCGAACCGAAACAGGGATAAAATTGATTGAATGCTCTTTTGGCCCAGAGAAACTAATTTCAATCCATCTCTCTTACGCAAGGAAATCACTACACAATCTCAATAAAAACTTTAAAAAATTTTTACTAATACATTGCTGTGTAAACAATGTCAGTCAGGACGTTGTATTTGAAATTAAGACATTCGGAATTCAGATGCCTAACTGTTAATTAATGTTCATCAAAATTCTGTTTTCTCTGTTTAATGTCTTGGATCTGATTACGTTTTAACAGAAAACAATTTTCCAAATTGAGCGTGCAGTCCAGGTTATATTTGTTAATTTTCTGTTTAACTGATAAAGAATTGTGAGATTAAGAAATTGTTGTACCATTAATTTTAGCAAGTTGCTTATTAGTGCAAATGTGACAGTTTTGAATTGATTTATTAAGTTTCCCATGTATTTGTGAAAGATAAATGTAATTGTTAAGAGATAACATGACTATTTTAATAATTAAAAAATTAGGTAGATTCGAATTAAATAAGAAAAATTCGGAGAAGTAAAGTGTACTTGCCGTATCGACGTGTTATGTATTGGCTATTATCGTTTCTAGGCAGTATTTATTGATTGATAAAGTAATCCCCCATTGTCCGTGGGAGAATTTCGTAACACCCTGTATATGATTACGTACTTGAAGTTATCCATATTCGTGAATGTCTGATTAAGACGAGTTTATCGCTGTTGTAAAAAACAACAACTTATAGCTTATATCTCTACCATACAGGGTGTTTTGCTTTAGTTAAACGATTCTGAGAAAGTGAAATAGGGAGGTTTTTGAAAATGTGTACTTGTGAGTTACTCTGAAGGCCGAATCGATGTAAGATATTTTCAAAATGGTTACATTTCCGAAAATACCAGAAGTGGCTAGTTATTTTAAACGGCAACCACTATTTTTTATTGCATTTTTGGATTCTACGTGAAATGTCAGTTCTTTTGTTACATGCCGATACCTATCTACAATTTATGGTTTGTAAGTTATTTTGACTTTTAATTAAAAAAATGGCGAATAGAGACGGTACTTTTAAAATTGATTACTTGAAAACGGTTGTAGTTATGGCAACCCATTTTTATCAGTGCATAGAAAAAGAATAGTGCTTTTTCTTAGTGTGTGTTTACAATGAACGTATACGTAAGAAATACATAAAACGTAAACATTTCGCAAAGTTGAACTGCATAGAAACATACGAAGGTGTTTACAATGAACGTAATTTTTACGTACGTATATGTAAGCGATATGTAAGTCTTGCGCATAATCGCAAAGGTTGAAAATGTTTCAAAGTTAAGTACGGTCAAATATCATAGCGAAGTAAATTTACGGAAGCGATACGGATATGTACGAGTTACGGTTTATGAAATATTTACGTATACGTTCATTGTAAACGCACACTTAGTGTACTTTAAAAAAAGTTATAATGCGTACGACTGTAGACCTTTAAGAAATTTCAAACTAAAACTCAGTTTTCTTAAATAAAGTGACCATTTCCTTACTATTGCATTTGATAGAAAATTCGAAATAAATGGTATCAATTCCATGAAATGGAAATAAGTCAGAAACTGGTAAAGATAGCTATAGAAATATATTGTATATCAAACTATGCCAATTTTGATTCTGTATCAAATGCAATAGTAAGAAAATGGTCATTTCATTTAAAAAAACTGAGTTTTTGGTCTTTGAAGTGTCTTAAATTTGGATCTCCATAGGTGCGGTCGTACGCAACTTAACTTTTGTGCACTAAAAAACCCTATTCTTTCTCTATGCACTGGTAAAAATGGGTTGCCATAACTACAAAATGGGTTGCCATAACTACAACCGTTTTCAAGTGATCAATTTTCAAGGTACATTAAATCTCAAAATAATTTAAAAACTATAATTTGTAGATATCGATATGGGGGTACAAAAGAATTGAAATATTACGTAAAATCCAAAAATGCAATAAAAAATAGGGATGGCCATTTAAAATATCGGAGTTACTAGCTACTTCCAGTATTTCAGGAAGTGCCACCATTTTGAAAATATTTTACATCGATTCGCCACTCCTAAGTAGGTACAAATTTAAAAAAAAAACCTACCTATTGCACTTTTCCAGAATCGCGCAAGCGTAAGTAAAGCTCCCAAAAACACCCTGTTTATATATTTATTTACGCAAAAACAACTCCATTGATATCTTTTAAGATAAACTAAAAATACATTTTTTACGTCTACAAGTGTTATCTTTACCTAGAAATAATATCCGGAATGGTACAAAAAAATAATAAAACATAAAAAAGACGTATTATTAAGGAGTATCAAAAAAATGCAAAAATATATCGGGTTGTGGACACACATTCGACTTTTATGGACCACCCTGTATACCCAAAAGTAGGTTCAGGTTATAAGGTTTATTATACCACAAAACCTTTCTTTAAAACATTCTCTAATCTTAACCATTTGGGCGTTATGATAGAATAGTCTAAACCTCCAGGCGCTGCGCCTTACCACCTTACCAGCAGTAATAATGAGGCACCCTGTATGTGGTTTCATTTCAATTTTGTGCAAATCTGATGGGTTATTGGTAACCTGCGGGTTGTAAAAAACTAAGGGGCCTAATGAAAATCTGACGATACGTATTAATCCAGATAGTAACATAACAGTACATGGGGGGGGGGGGTCTAAATAACTAACGCATTTATTCTTCTAACATTGGTATGACTCTAACATTGGTATGAGGCCATCACCGGACACTTATAAGGGTGCATCATAGTCGGGGACACATTTCAAGAAAAGGCATCCCTATGAATTCAAGAAGCAAATCGGGTAACAATTGAGCAAATTCCATTTGATGGAAACATTTCATTTGATGTCACAGGAAGCTTTTGACAGAGATACACAGAAAATCACAGTATCTCTTCTTCATGCCAAAATAAAAGGCTCAGAATTGATGCAAAATTTTGTTGAGCAGCGTTTGGTAGAGTTGCGTTTGGTAGAGTTGCATGGCACACCTGTGTTAAAGTGGTATTAAAGAAGCGATCTCCTTTAGGCGTTCCAGAGCAGGATTTGTCGTGTACAAAAGCCACCCAAGCGAGGGGTGACCCTCGGGAGACAAGTGCTGGGGGTGGGGGGAGAATCGATTTGATGAATTGTCGTGGTATTGTGACTTGAGAAGTATTTCAATACGCTATGTCATTGCTTCTTGAAAATGTTCATAATTTCCACTAAAAATTATAAATAAAGCATTTTCAAAATTTTTTCTCCCTTAAAATGTTGTTGAATTATTATTTTAAGTGTTTGGTCGACCTCTTCACCATTGAAAACCCTCATCCCGACGTTTAAAGTGCGTTAATTGGTCCACACAGGTGAAAAAACCATGCATGCGCATCCGGTTTCAGACGCCATCTTGAATACACGACTTCCGGTGCAAAATCTGGTTTGACAAACGGCAGATTCGGATTCAGCGGGGTCGAAATAGGGGATATCAGTCGTTTGCTCAATTGTTACCCGATTTGTTTCTTGAATTCCGATATTTTAAAATGTGTTCCCGACTATCAGTACATACTTTGATCAGCGATAAGCGGTCAGCATGGTGGCAGGGGGGTTTTCTCACAAAGGGCCGTACTTACGCAAAATATAAAGCACTATGAATAAGCGGCACTAATAATGCTGGTTAAGTCTTGCCAAGTAAATGTACTTTGATACTTTCAATTACCTTTAAATACTTGCAAACCTCTTCGCGCGATAGTGATGTGCAAATAAGGAACCACTCCTTCCCTTATATTTGTCACGTTTTCCACTGTTTCAACAAGTCCACGATCACTGACACAAATTTACAACTACGACGAATTTGTTAAATATTTGCACTCTGCAAACATGACTATATTAATTGCTAATATTATCAAAGTCTTAACTGTTAAGGCAGTAAACGCTGTTAGTTTGACGATAAGAGATATCTTGAAATATCGTGGGGATTCCTTATATTTTCTCGTTACGTTCAATATGTCGATTTTATTATTTTCGTGAATATTTTGCTGCATTCTCCATCTCTGGCATTGGAATTCCACCGATCGCATAGGTGACTGCAAAGATTATACTATTTACTGATTAAAGCTGTCAATAAGGATTTCCTATGGTTTATCAAAGAACAATAAGGAAAAGGTCTCCGTCAACATTACTTATACTTAAGGGGACGACGACTGTCAAATATTAGGGGCACTCAAGGCTTTCATTGAAGTCAGCCACAAAATTTTAAATCAGTACTTATCGCAACGTCTTTAACCAGCTATAAAAAATGAGATAAATTAGTTGATTACCTAGCTGCTTGCTCAATTGGCAAAGCTGTAAGGTAAAAAATAAGTTAATTAAGCTTCAATGCCAATGAGACATACCGGTCTTCATTGAAATAGACAAGGAAACTGCTTAATTATGAAAACCTACTTATCTTAGTCAATTGACAATCATCTCCTTATTTAAAAATCTGATAGAGGCTATCAAACTTTTAATCTGCCGGCACGTGTCTACTCACTGTATACATATTCCCTACACGAGTTGATAAAACATGTATTTCAGAACTAGTCTCCTCAGTGGTGATATAGTGGTTGAATAAATTTGTAACAGTGTTAAATGTCAGTATTAAATTAGCTCCCAAGTGAGTCGTTTGCATTGTATACTTGGTAGTAAAAATAGTAATTATGTAAGAAGACAAATAAAATAAAACGGCAACACTAAACCGGTGTTCTTTCAGATTAGCGCAACTTAAAAATGGTACAACAGCAAGTTCGCTCCACAAATATTTTCTTCGTTATTCTAGTCTTGGAAGTTCTAGTCATTCATGGATCTCATTCATCCCCTAATGATAGTTTAGTTGTTACAACGAATTATGGAAAGTTGAAGGGAACGCTTGAAAGTTCGAGGTCCAACAGAAGCTTTTGCGCGTTCAAAGGGATACCGTACGCCAAGCCGCCAGTTGGCAATCTCAGATTTAGGGTAAGTACCTTTCCATTGCCTCAATTTCCAGATAAGTATTATGAAACAGTCCAAAATTTCATTTTTCTTTTTTTTCCCATCCGAGTGGATATCGAGGACAAACAACGCTCGGGTCGCAGACACAGACGGATTCCCATTCTTGTTATTCTACTAAATCGGACTATTTACAAATTTTACAAGGTTACACGTGTATGAACCCCTTTTAACACAAAAAGACGCCAAGGTGAAAAAGTCGATGAACAAATTAATTTGTGTTTTTTTATCTTATTGTGCGTTTACTCTTTTGAGGTCAACAAGATCTAGTTTACATAGTCTCCCATTATCTTAGTTATTTACGTAATCTATTATGCAGTAGTTAAATAATCGCTTTTAAATGTATGGATTCCTCTTTTTTTACTAAGTAACTATTATATGCTGAAAATGGCCGAGTTGTTTATTTTGATCATGTTTTTTATTCCATTTTTTGCTTACAATGGGTCCGGAAGAATACTAGTTTTTAATTGTAAACATTAGATAACACTCACCTGTTTTCAAATTTCACCTCTCATAGACCTTTTAACATTTTCAAATGTTGTCGAACATTATAGGTATAATAATTATTATTGACTCATCAGCAGTATTGGCTAAAAATAACAGCAGCGATTATAAAAATACTGTAACAACGACTACAGCATTTCAGAGTCAACTGGGGGCTTAATTTGTGTTGCAACACTCTGTAGTCACTTAGCGTAATCGTTTATCTAAGTAATAAAGATACCTATTACAATATTTGTTGAAAAGGGTCTGGAGAATCGACAGCCGCAATAAAACCAGGCCTAGTATCAACGGTATGGTGGAAAACAAGCGGTTAATACAACTTAATCTCAACGCCTATTAATTTTTTTAAAAATAAAACTATAAAATACAGGGTGACCCAGGCGAACTGGACAATATTTTGGGAAACTAAAGTCGAAGTGATTTGAAGACCGGCTTTGTGGCTCAATGGTAGAGCGTTGTGCTATAAATCCGGAGGTCGGGTGTTCGAACCTGGGTTGAGGTGAATTTTTCATCTGTGGCAGAGATGGAAATTACCTTAGACCAGTTTCGAGCATTCTGCCGGCTACTCCGAATTAGGTTTTCCTGCAGTTTTCCTAGTTCGTAAGGTAAATACCGGAGTAGTGTTTAAGATCATCTGCAGGGGCAGCATTATGCGGGTCACTCTGTAATTGGGCGCCGGGTAAGAGAGGGATAATAAATAATAAATAAATAAAAGACTAACTACCTAGTTTTAATATGCACTTCACTACAATTTTATAATTTATATTTATTTTATAGCAGATATTAAATTGACATTTTAGGTATGAATGAGTAGACTAAGTCGCTCTTTAACCGCAAGGATAGGTGAAGTGAAACAGATAATTGTGCATTCTAGTGACGCCTGTCATTCTTATTTCAAATGAGACGCGAAGCACGATATAAAATGACGTCCACAACATAAAACAATGCTGTTTCTATGGAAAATATCGCGATGGCAGAACGTAATCTTGCTATTTTTGATGTCTAAATTAAATTCAGAATTATCAGAAGCTTTACAATGGTTTATATGGCTTCAGCTATAAAATAAAGTTTTGTATTATACACGAGGATAAAGATAAACTGACCATATCGTGAAAGTAAATTCAATCAATGGTTGAAATCCTTTTATCGTCTTATATAATAAATAACTATCTATAATTTATTATTTATACAATTAACTTGCACAATGAGTGCCAACGGTCTCTAAGAGGGCGGACGAGCGGGTACAGGTTTGGGGCATCCTGTTGTCCAGGAAGTTAGAAATCACTCCAAAGGCGGAAGAATCCTTGGGGATCATCGGCGTCAGAATGGAGAAGGCCAAGGGAACCACCTCATTAAAGACCGCACGGTATCCCTTGCCAGAGAAAGATAAATTCGAATTTAAATTTGCCAGAGTTGAAATAGGCCCCAACTCCGATCTCCGAGATCGACAGTATCCGAAGAGTACATTTAAGAAAAACAATGAAGAGAAAAGATGGGGGAAATTGAGGATGGCAACTTGGAATGTCTACTAAAGGAGGAAAAGCTTAAAAATCTATGACGAGAAATGATTAAAAACTGACTGGATTTAATTGGAGTAACTGAAACAAGGAAGGGACAGGGACAGGAACATTTTTTTACAGTGGTACTGGTAACAAAAGAGGGAAAAGCAGAAGAGGATTCATTGCCAAAAAGGAACCCTCCAGGTGTGATAGAGTGATGGCTCTAAAGCTTAACGCTGTGCCAAAGTAAATGTTAGTGATTCAAGTGTACATGCCAACCACTGACCATGAGGATGAGGAAGTAGAAGAAGTATACGCAAGAATAGCAAAGTATAATCGAGGAAGACGGAGATGGTTGTAGTAAAATCGTAATAGAGGATTGCAATTCAGTGCTAGGGAATAGAAGAGATGGGAACGTCGCGGGTATGTATGGACTGGTAGATTTCTGCAAAAAAATTATAGTTACCAACACATGCTTTAATAAACCATAAGAGCTGACTGTACACCTGGAGATCATTACCGAAAGCAAAATTTCATACTTGTAGAAGAAAGCTACAGAAACGGAGTAAAGTGAGTAGGTATGCAGGTTATCAAGCGTCGATAATACGAGAGTGACTTTATTGTAAACCTCAGAATTCGGCTTAAAATCGGAAAGAAAGAAAATGGAACTTACACAAATTAGGGTTTATGGACAAGGGTGAAGTGGGGAAATTGATGGATGAAGAAATAATGAATCTAAAGTCGCTACAAGTCGAGGAAGATGTAGAGTGTAAATGGAACCGAATTAAGGCGGGAATAATCAAAGCATCTGAAGAGAAAGATGCGTATAACATCAAAGAAGCCTTGGATAAATCAGGAAATGATAGCAAAGATGGAAGAGAGTACAAAAACATCACTACGGAAGGGGGAAGAAGACAATATCGGAGATTAAACAGGAGTTATGAAAAGAAACTGATGAAGTAGGAAAAGGTTGTAAGAAAATCAATGTCATTAAATAGAAAAGCTTGACGCGATATTATTTGCAACAGGATTAAAGAGGTTACCTGCTGGGATGGAGCCTCAAGAGCTGTTTGTAGCAATGAGGTGGAAGACAGATAGTACTGAAAGAAGAGAAAGAAATTCAATGGAAAGAGTAAAATATGGTGGATCTCTATAAAACACATGATATGGATGAGAGTGTTAAATGAAAGGCTGGAGAAGATAATAGAAGAAATTGTAGCTGAAGAGCAATTCGGATTAAGAAGAAGGCTTGGAACAAGGGATGCGATTAGATGTATAACAACAAGAGCTGAAAGATATATGGAAAAAGGAAGGAAAATCTGAGTTTGTGTTTCTTTGATGGTATAATACTCGTAGTAGATTGAGATTGCGTATCTAGTATTAGCCTTCGGTATGATCTCCAGGGGATTTCCAGGTGTACAATCTTCTCTTGTTGTGCATTTCGACCACCTTTTCTGAGATTTCACCCTAGTTAGTGTAATTTTTTTAAATGCAACACCCTGTAGATCTAAACGTCAATTTTTTGGCATTCTTATAACAAATTAGCATAATTTTAGAAAGATTCCTAGACAAGAAACAGTCTAAAATTGGAAGGAGTACCTACTTCGTAACGATTTGCTAAAAGAAGACATAATTAATTTTAAACGGAACGGAACGGAAACGTTTTCTAAGTAGATTCCTTAGATTGCTAGGAAGATATTTTTTTACTTGCTTACTGATTCAGATTTTCAGCATTTATGAACGGGCTTTCTTTAAAGGGAAACAAGGGCGCAGGTAAAAAAGGGTTGGGCACACTAATTTTAATTCTGGTGGTAACAAGGACATCAAAAACCGAACTGAACTGCAAACCAGAATAAAAAAGCTTAGAATAAATTGCCGTATCCCTAGTCTGCATAGAATAAGTGTTTTATATTTAGAAACCCTTATGTACTTAATAAGTACCTAAAATCAGGACAATTTCATTTTAGAACCGAAATGTTGCAAAAATTGCAACTCCAAATGTTATTTAATTAAACAAGACTCTGAAAGAATGAAATGCTTTTAGAGCCTTTTTTTTAACATATCCCGCGCACAGGCGTCGACTAAATAAAGAAATGATAATTACGTACAAACACTGAACGCTTGGGAACTTGATTGATCAGTTGTTCTTGATAATACTGCCCTTGATTACAAAATCTGGCTTGATGAATTGGATGATCAAATTTGGGGGTTTTCCGGAGGGTAGAACACCTTTAACTTTTAATGAAAATACGTACTAACTTTTTCCGATAACGGACAACACGTTTTAAAAACTCCCTACGAACTTTTACTACCCCACTTGCACACTTTATTACAATACTGGTCAAATACGCTTTCACATACACAGGCTGGACGCTCGAAAATTGAGCAAAAATTGTACACGCTTTTAAATCATCGCAAAAAAGTAAAAAAGTCACCGTCCCTCGTTGTCTCCAGTTTTTAAGGGAACACCACTTCCACGATAAAACAAACTCCTTTATGAATCAGCGAAAGAACACGTGCGTTAAATAAATTTCGCCTAACAATGAAACTCCTTATCGCAACGACCAAAATAAAACGTTTTATAAAACACTCAAATTTGACCAGCTGTTTCTTACTTCTAACAACTTTAAACAAGAATTTACAAACATTTCTGTAAGGAAAAACACACACTCAAATACATTTTCAAATGAAACGAACTAACTTTGTGTTTATTCGTCAACTATTAATGCTGATGCAAAGGCCAAAATATCGTCTGCATTACGTCGTTTACACGTTAATACATACAAATTTCTGCACTGAATTCTTTTACAGGCCCCTGTTGCCCCAGACTCTTGGACAAACGTGCGAGATGCCAGTAAAGATGCCTCAATGTGTATTCAAAAAAATTACTTGTTTTACGAAAATCCGCCAGTAGAGGGAAAGGAAGACTGTCTTTATCTAAACGTTTACACGCCACAGGTATGTGACACATTTTCTCACTTGCATTGTAAAGCTGACTGTAACTTGAAGTGTGCGAGGACATCAGTTTTCCAAAGTCGTCGTACATTACTACCGGTTATGGTATTTATTCACTATGGCGCGTTTTTCGGGGGAACTGGACGTAGTGATTACTTGGGTCCCGAATTTTTTATGGACAGGAAGGTTGTACTAGTTACGTTTAATTATCGTCTAGGTGCATTTGGTATGCCATTAGCCTAACCTTGGAGAACACACTTGACGTAGGTTTCTTTCAGGTTTTTTAAGCACGAACGATGATGCGTCCCCAGGTAATTGGGGCTTGAAGGATCAGGTCGCCGCGTTGCAGTGGGTGCACGAAAATATAATTTTCTTTGGAGGAAACAATCAAAAAGTTACAATATTCGGACAAAGCGCCGGTGCGGGAAGCGTTCACTATCACATGCTAAGTCCAACGACAAAACGTAAAAACTGCGCAGTTTGAGTCAACAATTTAAAGAAGAGGTTTTAGATTTGTTTAGCAAGGCCATATCTCAGAGTGGGTCTACGCTTTCGCTGTGGGGACGACCTGCGAATGAATTGCAAGCCCAAATCGCCAAACAGCAAGCGACGTTTGTTGGTTGTGATGCCGGTACGGATTCCAACACCATGGTGTCGTGTTTGAGAAATGTTGACGCGGAAAAGTTGGCTGATTCCGTGGAAAAGTTTAAGGTGAGAACACACGAGAAAATAATTTCGGTAAAGAAATGAATTTTAGTACTTTTCATCAGAGCCGTTTTTGTTATACGCGCCGGTAACGGAAAGGCGCACAGCCTTGAACCCTAAACCTTACATAACCGAAGATCCCTTAGATATTATTAAAAGTGGACGGATGCGTAAAGTTCCTTGGATTCTTGGTGTTGTGGCCGATGAAGGGATCCTAAGGGCATCACGTAAGTCAGTCGCAATTTAAGTGGGCTTACTGATTGATAGCCGTTTGATTTTAGCGTTGTTACGACAATCCAGTGTTTTGTCGGAACTGAACAGCAACTTTCTCGTTTTAGCACCGCAAATGTTCGCCCTTTCACTAAGTATCCCGGATGATAATGTAAAAAATGTCTTGAATAAAATCAACGATTTTTACATTGGAACCAATTTCATAAACATTACTCAGCCCGAAAGTGTCCAAGGGTTTATAGATGTAAGTAGAATTTTACAATCTGCTAGAAGAAAAATCCTTATATTGACTTAAAATTTCTCAATTTGAGAAAGACCCAAAATTCCAAAGAATTTATCACACAAATAAACACCTGAAATAAATCGTTGGCACCAATAGAAAATGTGACATTAAAATCTCTATCCGGCTCGCACTATGGATTCGAATAAACATGACAAAAGTTTATTCCGAAAATATGAAATAATTAAGACAGAATCCCTGCAAGAAAAAAGTTTACAGAGCTTGTTTGGACATATTACCCCGCACGCAAGCGGTCAACAAATAAAATAAGAAATCCTAAAGTTACTTACATTTTTTTAAATAATCCAAATAATCTCGTCGTAAAATGTTTGCGATATTCAGGCGCACTAATCTCACACAAACGCTGACAGCTTCACATTACTTTATAGATTGTAACACAAAACTAGATGAATAAAATGACAAATGTTGCGGTGGCTGTTCGAACGGTAGAAATTTTTAACTTTAAATAAAGGAAAGGCCTCAATGTAGTACACTGCTTCCTTTTTCAATTCGGCAAACGTTTTCCGTAGTCGGACAACCACACAACTTTGGTTAGCTTTTAAGCTAATTCATAACCAGACCATCTAAATTGTGTGAATATTTGAATAAAAAGCCTATGGAACTTTGCATTTTGCATTACCAGGTTACCAGAAATTACCCAACATCTAGAATTATTAAAATTCCTAAATTACTTAAAGAATTACTTAAATTGTTACAGTTATACAGTGATAGATCGTTCGTTTATGGTTCATACCAGTCAGCGTTGCTACACGCATGGAAGGGACACACTCCCATATGGTTTTACAACTTTGCCTACAAAGGACAAAACAGCTACGAACCAAACTTCGCCGCAACAAACGAGGAAATTCCTTTCAAGTGGGGTATTAGCCACTGTGATGATCTAATTTACCTGTTTCCTTCGAAGAGATTTTTCCCGCGGTTATCTGCACCGCACGATCAACAAATGAGTAAGATAATGATAAAGATGTGGGTTAACTTCGCCACCTATGGGTAAGCGGAGTTACTGAAGCGTAGTTGTTGTTTAAGACGATTATTTCTAGGGATCCGACGCCGTTAAGCGACCCTGGTGCATCACGATGGCGTTCTCTGCAGAATTTAGAAGGACGCTCGACCGTGAGAAACTCAGATTTGATCTATCTGAACATCTCAGGATCGTTTAAGAATGGCATACGCGACGGTATCCGTTTTGAAATTATGAATTCGTTTTATCCGGAAAGAATGCGATTTTGGCAAAGTTTGCCTTTATGGGAAAATATTGACGGTTTGCAATAGGTGTCATCAAAATGTGCGTCGTGTACTTCTGTACCTAATCTCATATTTATTTAAATAAAAAGTCTATCGTATGCAATTTCTTATAATTTGTCGGTTTTAACGCTCGAGTTACCAACTTGGCAACAGTGTGAGAAATTAATAAAAATACCAATAAACTACAATAATATAATACATTCACCCGCCACAAAGGTTCCAATACTTCCAGTTAGAATGGCTTCCATACAGGGTGATCCAAAATTACCCCGTGAATTTAACTGCGCATAATAAGTGCAGACCGACTCCTACTTTTCAGCTAACCTCGAGAAGGAAAAGGAAATTGGGCAGTGGAAACGGGTCTTCCAGTGAGTGTGATCTCGTATTAGCATTTCATAAGAGAACGGTAATTCATCGATAGGAGTGGTTAATTAAATTCTGACTTACGTACCCTATTAATAAATGGGTTTCAGATTGTGATATAGGTAAAACAAAGATAGGTAATTAAATCATGACATAACCTAAAAAGAATCGTGTTAAAAAAGAGGAATTGTATGAAAATATCTTTACCTAAAGAGAATACAGAGCGCATTGCGTCAATTAAACGTTGTTGTGGCGTTAGTCTTTCCGCGATGCAACTGCAAGCCTTACCGATTAAAAAAGACATTGACACATGACAGTGACATTTCCGACATGGAACAATCTCCGTCAAAAGTTGTATGACTGCTATTTGTTTTATTTAAAGGATGCTTGAGGGTGTAACGAATGTTAGAAATTACTTCTTCTTTATATTACCTCTGGTTAATCTTTAAATAACTAAATTAAATTGCGGAGGGCTCTTGGTATGTGATTATATGTAAGTGTTTCGGCTAGCTGTCAGTCAGTGATCCTCATCTTGCGTTTTAAAAAAAGATAAATGGATAAATAGTAAGTTAATAATCTTTATTAAATTATGAAACGCTTCTTAATTCTTTAAGGTAGGTCAGACCTTTTACTCTGCCCATTTTATTATATTTTATAGTAGTTTCTCTACTTAGTAGGGGAGCTAACACGAAATCCACTGAACGAGAATGATCAAAATTTTAACCGATGGTGTTCCATTTTGCCCTATCGGAGTATGCTAAAATCGATCGTCTGCCGCCTCAGGTCATACGACTTAAGGCGCTGCGGGTACTTCTTGTGGTACCAATTCTGAAAGGTTGTTTTTCGAAAAAATAAGTTATATACCAAATGAAGACGTTGATTATAGCTCTTAAAAAAATATTTTAAAAAATCCCGCGCATTTGATAACTCCGTAAAAAAACAATTCTTAGTCGGTTTTTCACGAACTTTCTACGGATATAACTAGGTTCAATTTCGCTAGGGGTGTTTGACATTTTAAATTTAGCGATCATATTCTTCCTACGTATTTAAATTCTTTAGCGTCTTGAAACCATAATGAATTTCGGAAATCGTGGGCTTCAACTTGCCGGCGATAACCTTAATTACTTTTGCGTGCCACAAACGGCATAACCAGTATGAATTTCTTGTATCGTAGGAATGCAATTTCGCAAAAAAATGAGTGTGTGGGTTTTCAAGGAACCGAACTTGTCAATTAAGGCGATTTCGATTGGCTTAAAGAAAACGATTCACTTAATTACTAGGCTTCATTTGAAAGGGGGGTTAGTTCATTCACAAAATAGGTAGGGATTAAGTTAGAGAGCGATTTCTTGGAGCATGCGGTTTTGGGCTACGGGAGGGTCTACCTCTTTATATGCATTTGCTACATTTTTTGTAGTTCGCCCATTGTAGCTCTTAATATAATGAAAGTGGCATCAATTTTCTTAGATCTGCGAGTTATTCAGGCTATAATCTTTCAGAAGTTTTCATTTTTTAAGTCGACTTTCCCTGGAAACACAGCTAAAGCTGAAGAGAAAGCAAGATCCTCAAATTTTTGCCATTCTTCCCGTTCATTAATTGCGAAGCAAAAAATTACTAACAAGTTTTCTGCTAACAAAATTCATAAGTTAATTTTAGCTCTTTCTGCCCTTACGCTCGTCCATGCGATAACTCCCGAACGAAAGGTCCTAGAGGATTGAAACATTTCTTCGTTTAAGGAAAACCCTATTAACCGATTTTCTTTGCCGTTTGAAAAGTTATATACTAACGCGTTTAGTACTTGCGCATAAACAAAATGTTTAAATTAGGTACGATGTATTGCCTTATCGCCTCCTTTTACAGCGGTACAGATAATAGAATACAAACACACGAATTTTATTCACGAATTATATAATTTAAAATAAATAATTTAGAAACTACTGTAAAAGATGAATTGTCAAACAGCTATTGCATACATTAATCAATTTTCTAGTACCTTGTACGGATTTAAAATGCCATTAGGGTCCATTAGAGCCTTTAAACTCTTCATCAGCTTAAAAGATGACTCATTTTTAATAGAACTCAGGTAACCGGCTTTCAAAAAACCCATGCCGTGTTCTGCACTAATACTACCATTTAATTCCTTTACTTTGTTGAACAAGAAGGTATCGATGCGTTTCTTCATTGCTTTATTAAACTCTTTGGTGCTTACTTGAAGGTGTATGTTTCCATCCCCTGAAAACAAAGTTAAAACTTAGTTTGCTCCTGTGCACCATTTATACATACCCAAATGCCCAAACCCAAACACGCGGGTCGCTTCTGTACCGACGTGCTGTCTAACGTCAGCAACCAGTTTAAAATAATACTCCAACGGTATCGTAAGGTCATAATTGTAAACGTATCCATCATGAAGGAATGCCTCAGGAAGACGTTCCCTAATGGCCCACATTGCCTAAGATATATCACTGAATATATTGGAGCCAAGAGGTGGGTATACATACATGATACTTGCCAGGTTCAGACGCAATTGCTCCATCCGAAATCAAATTTTCACTCAGTACAGATTCCAAAAATTTATTTAGTTTCTGCTGATCATGCTCTTCGTCGCTGCCCTTGGTTTCCAAAAGCAAATAAAATTCGTGCTTCCCAATAGGCGGCGTTATTTGCAAGTGGTCATTGAGAGTGTCCATGGAGGGTGTGTCGATAACTTCAACCGCTGATAATATCTCGCCCAGTTCATTTTTTGCTCTCTTAAAAGTTTTGAGGACATTTTCGTAAGATGGCGCTCCTAATTTATGGTTTAATAGTGAGATTTACAACAATTTTGGATTTACCTAAGAACGCCAAGGAAATCGCTTTCGATTGCGGCGGACAATGAATAGCGACTTTAGTGACGAAACCCAGTGTGCCCTCTGAGCCAATGAACAAGTGATGCAGGTGATATCCTGTGTTGTCCTTCTTTAGGGTGCTAAGGCAGTCGAGAACTTCACCGTCTGCCTTCACCTATAACAAACCACTGAACTCACAATGCAAGTAGGTTCTGGCACTCACTATTTCGAGTCCTAAAACACTCCCGTGCAAACTTCCATAACGAAGTAATCGTAACCCTCCCGCATTTGTTGAGACATTCCCGCCGATGTGGCACGATCCTTTCGAACCCAAATCTAGTGGCAACAATAGTTTTTTGTCGGCCACAAAATTGTTTAAATTTTCCAAAATACATCCCGCCTGGCAGACGAGGACGCCTGTATCAGAGTGGTGACTAAACCTCAAAGTGGCAACATTTCAAATCAGTACCTGATGTCTCATCCAAACTTATGATTTTATTCATCAGATCGCTGGAAAGGACTATTTCATCGAATACAGGTACAGATCCGCCGGAAACGCACGTGTTTCCTCCTTGAGGACAGACTGCCAACCGCTGATCGTTGCAAAATGATAATATCTGTGACACTTCTTCGGTGGTTTTAGGTTTAATCACAATTTTACTTTTGCCTAAAAATAGAAGCTATTAGTGGGGACCTGATGTCATTTATGATATATGTATTATATCTCGCAGATTGATCAAAACTATCACGTTCTACTCGCATAACGTAAATTAGAAGCAAAAAGAAGGTTAGCATATGAGTATGTGCCAAAAAGTTACATTTCATTAGTGAATGGCTGAAAAATAGTGAACTTGACGTTCTTAGTATAAATGTGTGCAGTTTAAAGTAGTTAAATGAAATAAAAGACGACCAATGCCTTATTAATTATTAACTAAAAGATCTAAAACTTAATTACACTCATCGATGTCATAAATGAAATGTAAAGAAGATCGGATTTCGTGGATTTAAAGAAAAAGCTCAAGAAATTTTGGAGAAGATTAAGCTTTTGAGAGAAGTTTACGAGGAATTTAACTGGAACTTGAGAACAACTTCAGAGCGGCTTTTGAGTAAATTAAGAGAAGCTTAGAATGATGAAGGAAATTGTAACGGATGGTCGCTTTAGTCGTTTTTTTAAAAAATGTAATTTTTCGAATTTATATTTTGGTGAGCATAGGAAGGTTTACACATGTACCGCTTTATAGCGAACAGAAAAAATACTTCTGGAAATAAAAGGCGTTAACAACGCATGTTTTCAATAGACGGGTTTAGCTCTTCAATGCTTATGCACGTATTATTTTTTAGTGTGAGAATTTGTTAGTACTTCGCATAATTGCGGAATTTTGCATAATTTTGCGTGATCAGTTAATATCTCTGTTCTGCTAAATAGTTGTTGGAGAAAATTTAAGCAAGTTGCAGTAAAGTGTTACTTGTTTTTAATTTGAGTGTAATTTTCCAAGCAAGAACGTCGCTGATATTTATTTTGAGTAATCGCGTCGTTGAGAACACGTCACTAAGAAAAAAATGGTGACGAAGTGCGAGTTACCTACAGGCCTAAATAAAAATTTAAAAGTTTACGCGAGGGAGCATTTTCGGATTGGAGACGCGCTCATCGCATAGAAACGGAATTAAATGTACTGAATTTAAAAAGTCGCTGTGATAAACAGATTTTTCTTTCGTTCGCATCGCTAACAGTAACGGCCAATTAAAAGCGGTTTTATCAAGGCTATGCAAAACATTTGTGCAGCACTTTGTCTAATAAATAGTTGGTTTGGATCCTGAACATCGCGAGAAGACAGCCAACACCAAGACACGACAACAACTCCGAACAGCGCAAGAAAATGACCGTTACTTGCGTCTGATGATACACTGGAAAATGGCAGGGAATTCCGGATATCGTGTGATTTAAAATTTGGTACAAGACCGGAAAGGAACGTATGCAATCGTGAAGAGAATAAACGACTTGATATCCCGGATACGGAAACTACCACGAGGAAAACCATTGGTCGCGCGTTACTCTGAAACGCAAATGGTACGCTTTGGTGTTGTCCGTTAGGAATCTAACGATTTGTTTAAAGCAGCAGCGCAATACGCTTTGGCTTACTGCGTGGCCAAGGATGTCAAGCTGCCCCGAGGTATTCCCGTAGAATTCAAGTTCCGGTTTGGATGCTTAAAAGAAATTTTCCCCCAACGTCCCGAGGTTGGTAAACGTATTTCGGTGTTTCCTACAGGAGCAGGGACGATTTCTTTATTATCTGGTAACCAAAAATTGGAAAGATTTTTGGAATGCGCTACAGCACTTGAAACGGCAACTACAAATTCATGGTGTCGACAAATTGGCATGTTCCAAAGATCGGATGTAGTTTTGATAAGTTGAACTGGCGCATCGTGCACAATATGCTGGAGATGTTATTCCAGGACACCGGGGTGGAAATATTGGTCTGTTGCTTTAACCCCAAAGGACTAATTTGTAAGACGGTAAAAGGTTTTTTCTTCAAGAATGGAAGATGCATGAGGGTCCTTTGTGCAAGTATCGCCATCAAGTTGCCCGAGACTGTGTCTCCGCTACAACTGTCGTCCGTATTGCGAGACGCCACAGTTTTAAAAGGGCGGCAGTGTGGCGAATATTCTAGAAATCCCAATAGACATCGAGGCACCATAAAAGATGTCATCGGCGATAAAGTACGAAGGAAATATAACGTATTTTGTCCTGGAATCTTCGATGCCATTCGGAAGTACTCGAGTTTGCTATATAAACAAATCGAATTGCGTCTCAGTTCAGTTTTAACATCGATGCGTTCATGATATGTTATGTATGTATAAATTGTGAGTGATAAATTGTAATTGCTGTTATAAAAGAATCCATTTTGAGACTCTAGTAAATTTATTGTTAATCAATCGTAAATAAACAGACGGCGTAATTAAATTTACATTGCAATACGGATAAATTCGTGTGAAATTCAAAGAAAAAGTTTAACATACCCTTGATCGAAATTTGATGGAAATTTGTAGGAAGCTAAAGAAAGTTTAAGAGAAACTTGAGAACAGCTTGAGAGTTTAGGGAGAGTATAGGAAAAATTTGTGGAGAACTTGAGGTGGGCGTGAAGATAAAAGTTAAAGGAAACATTATGTGGAAGTCTGCCAAAATTTAAAAAGGCCCTGCAAATGACCTTGTAGGTACAATGGGAAATTAGGGAAATTTTATGGTAACATAAGACTGATAGTGATTTGATACAAGCTTGCCACAAGTTTAACGGTAACGTGAAGAGAATATGAGGCAAGCTTCGAAAAAATGTTAAATGAGAACATGACAAGAACTGGAAAGAATTGTATGGGAGCTTGAGATGAAGAAAGGATATAAATTAAAAGAGATGAACGTGAAATTAATTTGAGGAAAGCTTGCTAGGAACCTGAAATCAATTTGTTGGGTACCTCAGAAAAGTTTAAGAGAGACTTGGGATCAGAAAAAACTCGTGGTTGACCCATACTCTAAATGGGGTGATGAACCATACAGGAACTAAACAACTCAATTCCTCAAAACCTTCCCCATCGATATTTAATTATTGACGAACAGATATAATTGTGAAATGTTACGACATGTTTCGATTGTTAATCATCTTCCGATTAACGGTTTAACTTTAAATGTTTTAGTTTATTACCTGAAGATGATTAACAATCGAAACATGTCGTTACATTTCACAATTATATCTGTTCGTCAATAATTAAATATACATGGGGAAGGTTTTGAGGAACTGAGTTGTTTATTTCCTGTAAGAAACTTGGGAGATGTTTCGAGAAGCTTGAGACATGAAGGGAGTTTGAGCACTTGATAAATATTTGAGTGGAGATTGAAGAAAACATAAGGGGCTTCAGAAGAATTTGAAAGACATTTGAGAATAGCCCGATAGGAGCTTGAGAGAGGCTTGAGAATTGCATAGGTAACATGAGGAGAGTGACCTTACACTAAATCGCATTGAAAATTGTTATCAACTCTTGAGCAAAATGCGTATTATTTGACATACCTCGTATACAACTGAAAAAATGGGAAATCTTATGGTTGGATTTTAGGTTTCAGATCATGGAGCAATTATTTATCTCAGGATCGTGCAATAAATAAACATTGACTTGTGATAAAGATAATGTCAATAGACAATGATAAATCCAGAAGTTACGTCATTCCTATTCGAATACTATTCTTGTTAGAACAACCAATTCCTAAAATTGTCCAACCAAGACAGGCTATCGTATCGTGGAAGACTTAAGCAAATTTCTGTTCCTGTTAATCATCTTCGGTATGGAAAAAGTAGTTTGGGTAAGAGATCGTTTTGCCCAACTACATAAAACTATAAACTGACATGCAGTGACCCTAAGTTAATTGATCCGCAAATGAAGTTGTCACGATTTCGATAATTAGAAGCTCTATTTCAACACACGATAACATAGTATACTGACCTCTCACCTGATTGTACCAATCAATGTTATATCGATTTAGATCGGTTTCGTCCATAATAACTCTTTCTTCTCCTACAATTTCTTGGAAAAAGTCGATGTGACTATCCTGAAGTACACTGTAATTGCCTCTTCGTACATTGTAACTATTCTAGATAAATTTAAGGCCAATAAACTATGTGACAAGTTTTGTATTACTTACTTGTGTAAAGTCTGGTAGAACGTGCACTTTACGTAAACCTAACGATTTTCCTAATTTTGAACACAATTTTGCACAGCTTCTCGTGGTGAACATGTTTGTGGTGGGTGAGATTCACACAAGCGGTTCAGAACAACTGATAAACAACTTTGATTTAATATTACAGACTTTGTTCTCCTAACATTTGTATTTAAATTGTGATTTGAAATATGTAGCTCACAAGTATATATATCGGACGCATTGTGGGACTTCCCATAAGACGAAGTGAATTGGAATTACCTAATTGAACGTATCTAATCGAATGAAGTCTTGATTAATATGTCCTCAGTATTTTCCAACCTTTTACGGATTGCATAGACGTTTGTCTTAAATTTCCAAACTGAAAGAAAAAATTAGAGGTTTGGGCTAAAAATCGTTTTTGAGAATAAGATAGCAGTGTACTGGCCGTGAGTGATAAGGTAGTGTTTTTCGTACCCATATCAGAGTGTAACCCACTTGGGAAAAAATAAAATAGTCAGTCTATTTACTCTTCGATAAGAAAACAACAAAATCCAAAAGTCTGCCCAAAACACCCCTCGATGTTCCGTCACAAATATACGATACGCTATACGATAAAGATGTATTGTGCTTATCAACTTTGATAAACTTTACTATTTATGTTTTGAAACCTTTGGTTACTTTTTCGGTGATTACAAGTACAACACCAGTGAGATGGAAGACCTCACCCTAAGGGGTACTTGCTACTCTTCGGTTCGTTTTCAAAAGCCGTTCGCCTTCCTTTCGTCTGATTATTGCCAATATTTTTGCCCCCTCTGAAACATTCCCTACCCTCTGAAAGTTGCCCACCTACAACTCTGCATGGATATGCTTTTGTTTTATTAAAAAAAATGCTGCTCTGTATTTAAAAAAGTGAGGACCACAAAAAACATCGGACTTGATTACCTTGAACTCTAATCGTGCCAGTTTGTAGAGGAGGAAAAGTTGCAATGAGATAGCGTTATTTGACTTCAAAAATCAATTAGTATTCGGAATTCCTTCACTTGCAAAGCAGTGTTAGATTCGACACCAAAATGTAGGTACATCTATGCCTCTATTTACTATATAACTTGGTTTGTTACAGTTTCCGAAATCCCAGTGGTCACCTTCGAATTTGGACTAACAGTAGATTAAAATTAAATTCACGAATATTTTGGCAATTCAGATCTAGGACTGGCCTGGAAATGCTCTTAAAAGAAATTCGATCAAATTTCTGGTTCCTCCTGCAAAGGTTGCAGATTGACCTTTTGCAAACAGATCATCTCTACATAGCTGTAGGTTTTCATCCTACGACCCCTGCACCATAAAAAACAGTTATTTCTTCTAAGAAATCCTTTGAACGTCATCACGTTTGTCCCTAATTAAATTCTCATTTCATGGTAATTAAATCTGTCGAAATCACCGAAATAAGGCACCATATTTAATTGGAGATTGCGCCTAAAGACATAGTAGGTATTTTAGCTTTAAAAAAACTAATGAGAAATACAAAAAGCGAAGATCATAGAAAATCACCTGCAGTTGCGACAATATCAAGAAGGGTGGCGTAATCCACAATAACTGCAGATTTGTAAATTAACTAAATCCAGAAAATAATCATTAAATAAAATAGTATCTATTTACAATTTAACTGGTCAACTCCTTGCGTAATCAAAATACTGACGTAGATAGAGAATTTCCTAATTGCTCAATTGCGAAACTAGCTTTTTATAGTATCAAATATAATATTAGAGTGGGCGATTCAATTTCATTTTTGATACTCAAACAACTACATGTTTATGTTGCGGTTCTTCTTCTGTCGATAGCGGGGCAGTGACACAAAGGGTTCAATCGATGATTTTCCATAAAAGTAGGTATCTAACAGTTATCCACTGATATTTTTAATGTATACCACAAGGTTTCTATAAAAATTGATTAGGGACGATTTGTTTTGCAGCCCTTTTTCATGACAAAATGCCAAAACCCCCATAGTTGGAATGAAAATCGATTTGATCTTACTACCCCTCTTTCCAACACCTTTTATAACTTCGAATTGAGAGAATGACTTTTCTTTCATTGTTACTTTCAGACAAATTGTAGGGCAGTGCGGTGCATACCTAACACCAAACTGACGGTTGCTATTCATGTGTCCCGATTTTGACACATTTGCATATAAAAGGGAGCATATAGAGCAAATACTCGTAAGTGCCTCTTTATTCGCGCATTAATTGTTTTTAACTTTTCTGTCGAATGACGTTTTGTACACTGTACAGGGTAGTTCAAATTCGTTGCTCACCATTAAGATCTCCGCAATGGTGAGAGGTACAATACGAGCAAAGTTGTCCCTTTTTATGACTAAAAAAACGCATTTGAAATTATTGCAAAATCTTTGAAAATAACCGAGATATCGCCGAAAAACTGAAAATATCAAATTTCGTTTTTATTTTTTCTAACTTAAACGGTCGGAAATGGGTGGTTCCCGTTAGCACCTTCTATGGGCACTTTTATTCGGAGAATGTGAAACTGTTATCAGCATTTCTATAGCACGCTACATTTAGAAGCTACAGGCTACTACTTTCTATTTCTTATAGGCGCCATATTGGATTTTAACGGAACGAGACGGATCACCATATTGTAGAGCTTAAAGCGTGCCTAAGAGGAAGTGTTATTTATTTTTTGATATTTTTTCAAATAGGGCCAGAAAAAATAAAAGCGAATTTGGTTAATTTAGGTTTTTTGGAATATCTCGGGGACTGATCAGAATTTCCAGATTTTTAAAACATCGTTTTAGTAAGCCCTAAAATACGCAACTTTTTTCTAATCGACTGTGTATCTCTTATGGTTTCCAATTTCCCCATGGACTTTTTACTTACCTACCCTGTATTACCTTTACGTAATTTAAATGCAATTTACCAAAGAAACAAAAATATAGCTCGGGCAAAGTAGAGATGGATCGAGGTGAATTTCGGGATTCTTGTTCACTAGCGAAAATGAGCAAAAGGGAAATGTAATAACAGTAAACCGGATAGGCACCACTTAGTCTTTAGTCACCTTCAAAAGAGAGGAGAGAATACTTACCAAAAGGGGAAAAAGGCAGACTAAAGATCCTTGTTCTGGTCTTGAAAAGCTAAAGGAATAAAATACTTGATAGGGATAGAACATAAACAATAATTGACGTCACAATCGAGGGTAATTTAATAAATGATCTCAAAAATATTACGAACAGGACACCGTAATACCTAGATCCTTCACTCAACGGTAATAGAGATCTGCAATGTCAATATCTAAATTTTAATGAATTTTTTGTATCAAGGAGATCAACACGTAGTCCGAGAAAGTCTTAAAATTAAAATAGCCCGCCGCAGAAAATCAAGGAGCCATAATCGTTAATAGAATATCAAGCAAATGTAATAATTACAATTCGATTGTGTCGAAAACCAGTAACGTTATATTAAGGAGCCGACGAAAAATAAAAAATTACCTCTGAACTTCGGGCCGCAACCTTCTGAGCTCAATAGGGCGCGTTCGGGCTTTTCTGTAACAGAAAATAACACAACAGACAAATAAAAGAGGCAGTGAAAGCACGACACATAAAATATTTCGTAAGCAATTCTAAAGTCTGACACAGAAGCAATCGTAATTAATACTCAAAAAGAATCAATAATTCGAATCATTTTATACTATCTAAACCAAAATTTGACTCGAGTATGGATTTCTCGTACAAATTCTGGAATAAAAGCTTAACGTGACTTTAAATTCAAGAACAATACTTTTCGATGCACAAATAACTAAATTTCTATTGATCTATAAATTCAGGATGTAGATCAGGTAGTAAAGGAGAAAGAGAAACTACTCCAAAGACAGCCAAAGCACCCATTAAAGGTAACACATGAAGTAAGTAGGGAATGCAATACCGGGATCGCGAAATCACGAAATACCGGGATCCCGCAACATTTTTGCGGGATTAATCCCGCACATAAATGGAGCGGGATCCCGCGGGATTTGCTGGACTGAGGAATTTGTCGACCAAGGGGGCGACTGTGTGCTTTGTTAATAAAACTCATAACGGAGACATTATTTTTAAAATAATTGTTAAACTTCTCTCGTTAAAAATGTACTATGGATTTTGAGGCACTTCAGAAGTTCATCTTTTTGTGCTTTACAGGTGATTTTTTTTTAGTTCTAAGTTAGGCTGAAGGTACTTTTTGTTGAATATTGTTATCATTAGCGATTTATTTTAGTACAGAAGTTTACCGCACAAAATTGCTTATTTGCCAATTTATTTAAAATTTTGCGAGATCCCACAAATACCAGAATCCCGCGGGATTAACATCTAACAACCCCGCAGTTACCGGGATTGAGATTTTGCTACGGGATTGCATTCCCTAGAAGTCAGTAACGGTGTACCAAAAGGAAAATTTGCGTGTAAGCAATGCGAAAGTAGAAACTTCACTGAAGGGAACAAGTACAACTCGTGGGCAAGATAAAATGTACGAAGAGCATTAACAAAAAGGTACAAAGCGTGAACTCTATCACCAAAACAAAGAACTGGATAAACGAAACTTCTAGCACTAGGATGGCCTCGATCGGCAAACTAATAACCAAAGTAATAAGAAATCTATACTAAGATAATAACAAATTTACTACAGAAATATCTTACATCTTAACCTAATGGACTACAAAGTACCTATACTGTTGGATTAAAAAGTATGTGGGGTCGAGTTTAAAGCTTTAATAGAAAAATTGGGTCAATTTTAATGAACCGGGTATCAAATTAAACCTTGTTTCATTCTACGTTATTTAAGCCTAACAGATATTTTCTAAGTAATGTTTAAGTACTACTTCAGAGAGAGCGCTTGGAAATGACCGTTTTTGAGGTTTGCCGTGCCACAGCCCAGTATAAACTCCCTTGAAAATAAAATGACTCAACCAAATCTCTTCAAATTTTAGTATTTTATAGATTGAACAGTTCTTAATACGTGAAAAAACTTATTACAGAAATTTGATTTTTACTATTATATGAAACAGTGCTTTATTTTTCCCGTGTAATTTGTGGAATACTGGAACCCTATGTAGATTCTCTGTAGCATTAATTCTGAGTAGATTCTTTGCAGATCTTTCTGATAATCTATGTAAATTGTCAAAAATTAACTTTGAACTTCATCACTTTGTTGCCTTTCTACAAAAGGGGGGAGTTGCAAGCAGTAAAAAAGATGACAATATTTACGTAAATTCACAATGTGCGCGAGGGGTGCAAAGAATTTAAGAAAAGGACTATTTATTAGGTAAGGATCTAATACAGGTACCTATAACCTATTATGACTCGTACAGAATACGCTTTTCAAACATACGACGGCCTTTTTTCTTTATAAATTCGTCTGTGATCTCCTCAACTCAAATTTTCCAACACGAACATGCCCACAAAATGCATTTTCTTCGGGAAAGGGGGGGTTGCAACCCCGCAACCCCCTACCTGAATCCGCGCTTGATAGAGCACCAATTTTCTTAGGAAAAAGATCAAACTCCATTGCTCGATGTCGTATCGTACTAAGTCCGTCGACGTAATAGTCGTTTTTGTTTGCTTGTTCATTTATGGAATAAAGATGCTGCAGGAGAGGGCCCCAATATATTTAGTGGAACCCAGACCCGGGCGACTGGTGCTACGGCACTGCATACTGCGCTTCATCGACAGATGGAAAATAAATAGTAGGTATCCAATTCTTTGCCGGCATTCTGCTTCGAACGCGTTTATGAGTCAAAATTCAGACTTTAAATCTAGTTGATTGCACCTTACTATTTAAAAATCGCTTGCGAACATCAAAAGATACAAAATATAAGGTAACATTTATTACAAATACATCCCTCCTCTATTTTTATCACAGATCAATTACATTTTGTCATTCCAATTTGTAAAATGATACCGAAATAGGTAGATAATGTAAAAATTCTATCAATAAATATAATGTGAGAGCAAAACGATCTTTATACCAAATCCTATTGCGATGGTAAGACCTTGTACGGATTCAAAATTCCATTGGGATCCATCATGTTTTTAAGTTCCTTCATTAAACCGATTGCATTATCACTTTTGGAGTAGTGAATGTAGGGCGGTTTGCGAAAACCAACACCGTGCTCGGCACTAACACTTCCTTTTAATTTTGACGTCAGTTCATACACGTACGGCTCCACCTTTTTGAGGACATCAGGTCGAAACTCCGGAACGGAGATATTAAGATGGATGTTTCCGTCCCCTACCAACGAAAATTTACGTTGTTTCCCTAACTTAAGATGCAATTACCAATATGTCCGTATCCTGCGATCCTGCTAGCATCACTACCTAGCCTTTCCCTCATTTTCGGAATGAGTGAATAAAAATCCTTGATCGGTAATGAAATGTCGTACTTGAAAAGGTAACCGTCATGCAGTAAACCTTCCGTGATTCTCTCTCTAAGATCCCAAATTAACTGAAAACGGAACATATGAGAATATGACCGAAATTTTTGGAACTTACTCTGATTTTGCTTGGCTCATTCGTGACGGTACCATCGGCGACAATACCATCTCCCATAACACTTTCCAAAAACGCGTTTAGCTTCTCTTCGTCGTGCTTTTCATTGCTTCCACTCGTTTCGATCACCATATAAAATGGAAACTCGCCAAGCGGCGACTTTAACTTCAGATGGCTAGTGACAACGTCCAAAGAACTGGCGTCCATCATTTCGCAAGACGAGAGAATCTCACTCAACTCCTTTTTCGCTCTCGAATACGTTCTTAAGATATCTTCAAACGAATGAAGACCTGGAAAGATATACACTGCAGATATCGTCGTGAAGGAAGATTGTAGTACCCAGCAGGGCCAAATTCAGTGATGTAGGTCTCGAAGGACAGTGAATAGCAACCTTCGTTACAATGCCGAGCGTTCCTTCAGAGCCGATAAATAAGTGCATCAAATGATATCCGGTGTTGTCCTTTTTCAATGTGCTAAGACAATCAATCACGTCTCCATTAGCTTTTACCTACGGAAAAAAAAATAGATTTTTAGATCTACAAATGAAAAATTACGTTTATAAAATTAAATGATTTATGACAATGAGATGTCTTAACAGACATTCTAATAACTAACGGCATAACAATTTTCTAAAACAAAACAGTTCTTATTTTCCACTGTTGAAGAGAAAGAAGAGGGTTCCATTTTAAAGCATTAAGTTGTCTCATATGCAAACCTGCGAAGTTTGTAATTTAGGTACATTCCTGAGCACTCTGTTAACTCTTGTGAATGGGCGCTTAAATGAGCCTAAGAAATATTGGGATTAAAAGTTAGAGATTAAAAAGGATTTAAAGGACGCGAGTCATTTAACTAACATCCAGAATTGCACAATTCAAAGGTGTCAATTTTGTGTTCATGCTCAAGACAAGGTTTATTGTATAAAAAAAGACGATAAAATACCGGAAAGCCTAATCTTAATCGTCAACTCATTACACGGTCGCGCCCAACCAGTGCCAAGATTGCCAAATTAGTTAATTAAGAGGAATTGAGGCTATTCGTTAGCAAATCATAATAACCCTCGCGAAAAAAATATTAACATATCCAGTAAAGGGCCAATCAATTAAACGTGCCAGTGTCATATTTTTCTCTGTTACAAAAGGACTACTGTTCAGTGCCAAGTTATAATTAAAGTTTAATATTTATTAAGGAAAATTGAGTTTGTAATCTAGGCAAATTTGCAGTCATTTATATTGCATTTATTTTTACCATTTATGAACCCATTAGTAATGGATTTGATAGAGAAAATCCGTTTCTTATTTTAAGTTGGTTTGTTCAAAGATATCAAGAACGAAAATCTCCAAACTCATTGGTCCATTATGATTATTTATTCCTATAAGGTAAATTGTGTATAACAAATTTTGCCATATATTGTTCTAGGTTTGACATTAAATTAGGGATTATTCCAAAGATCGCGGCCACGAAAATTGATCTAGTTAAATTTACCAGCGAAAACTATAAATAGGAAATTTTGCGAGCTTGGAAGAAAAGTAAATTTTAAAGTCAATTTTCAGAAAAAGAAAAAGGAACCCCAAAAATGTATGTCAAGGACTAGCTGGAGGTCATTTAATTATTCTCCTTGAAAATGTTGAAGTTTACTTTAAGAAGTCAAAATTTTAATCCACGGAAATCCGTTGCCGGCTCCACAGGCCACTAAAAGGTGGAAATCTTTGTAAACTCTTGGAGTTGTACGATGCTAAGACACAGAAAGACTCTAGAAACTCCTCTTAATACCTTTTGAAAACCTTTAAACACTAATAGCCTCTAGAGGTTCTTAGCTAAACTAGGAAGCTTTTCAAAACTGATGAACACCCGGTACCTAGAAGCGTTTTAAGTTTGGCGCTTCGTTACTAAGGAGTTTCTGAAGTTTCTTATTTGCTCTAGGAGACGAGGAGTGTTTTTTCCGTATTTGCATTTTGTTTAATTGTTATCAGTTTTGCAACATTTCCTGTGGGAATATTTAAATTGTGTTTACCGCCGCCGAACGCTCTCTTGTCAGGGAAGAAGAGAGGTAATCAATCTCATTAATTTTTAGGTCCGTTGATTACCGATTATTCGATTTTAGTTTCCCAATGTTAAACGTAAAACTAAGATAGAAAAGCGGTTTTACGAATCGAACCCCGTGCATTCACAGATAGAAGCTTTCTATCTTGACCTCGCCGATAACACTCCAAGAGACAATGGATTCAATTAGAACTCCGTTTTCCGAAACTTCCATCCCGAAAAGCAAGTGAGTATAATTAGTAGCAATTAATTGTAATGAGTTACAGAAAACCCGTCCGTTTGAACTGGGCTCAAAAGAAGTGCGCTTGAAAAACTTAAATTCAGATATCCATCCCATATTTTTCCCATAACTGCAGGCCGAATAATTAATTAAAGAAGTTTTCATTTGTTAACGCGTTCTATATTAGCTACGGGAGCGTCTCGGAATTTCTTAGTTCCCTCTCCGTATTATGGGAATTCTATATAAGGTAAACGCTCAATTTTGGGGGGAATCTTTTTGCTTTTGCATTTTTACATTTTACATTTTACAAGTTACATTTTGCACACATTTGAATTGACATTCACAGTACTACGTAAATAACCACAAAAGTGTTTCAAAGTAATTGGAATTGGCGTTTCGCAACTTTCTCTACCGCTCCGTTAACTGTAAGGTGAGCTTTACGTTACTTTGCGTTTCACTAGTTATAAGGGGGGGGGGGCATAATGCCCACTTTCACGCAATGGCTTTTCCACCGCTTCCGCCGATTTGTGTTTTGTTGATTCCATTCCCGTTAGGGAGTCCGCCATAACTTTGCCTTAGTTTGCCGAAGTGACAGCCGCCATTCGCTGGACCCGTTCCATTCCTGGCTGCCCTTTCTCCGAGTGCGTTTACCCGAGGCTACCGAGTTCGACCCCCGAGACCGTGGTACCGCCGACCTCGACCAGGCGCGAGATTGTTCGCTTGGTGGTGCCCGAGTCCGTCCGTTGAGCCGTTTCTTGGCGCCGTTCTACCGACAGAACAGGTCCCCGCCGACTGCCGATACTGTAGCTTTGTGATTTAAAAGCGATTCGTCCTATATTTAAGGGCTAGGTGAATTACAAAGTCAAGTGTACGTAAAGAAGTGTAGTGAAAAAGTTTTAGACGAGAAGGCATTAATAAATTTGCGTAAGAAAACGTACATCAGCTCCATCGACGAAAATAAACAAAAAATAAAAAAAAACATTCCATTAATACGAAATAAGCTAGCCTTGTCTTTTGAAAAATTATTTTCTTAGAGATCTTCCCAAAAAAGTGGCCTATGCATCCGTTAGCTGTCAGAACCGTAACTAGTCCCTTAAAAATATTAGAAGAAATAGCTTAAATTTACAAGCCTTCTTTAAAACCTCCTTAGAAAGTGTCCTAGTAATGATTTAGACACATTCTTTCGAAATTTTCTGAAGATCTTCGTAACAGTCGTGCTTTTTACCAGAATCTTATAATTGTAGGCTGCAGTTTCCAAATCGTTCTAGAAATCTCGGAAAAGTCTTTCTCTGCCTTCAAAAAACATAATAGTAACCTTCTTAAAAAAATTCTGTGGGTCACTCTTTTCGAAAACCTTCTTAGTAGTTAGGTACCTACTATAGAAACCTCCTTGGAAACATGTGTGCGAGCTTCCAAACGGATCCTCTTAGTATGCTCGAAAACTAAAGGTGTTCCTAGAAATCTTTTAAAAAACTGCTTGAGAATTTTATTATAAACCGTATGAAATTTTTGTAAATATTCTTAGAAAGTTTCATTTCAAAAACTCCAACTAAGTTTTGTTAAAAGCCTTTTCAGAAATCATCTTTGAAATCCTTGAAGATCCCACCAAAACCTTTCTGAAAAGTTCTAGGGGGAAACAACTTTTATTTTTTGGTGTACAGCCCTCTGAATTAATTTCTACACCAAAAATGGTACTTGTTCTCCATCAGAAAAATTCGTTTCTAAAAATCATCGATTCCTGAGAAAATTGCGCTTATAAATCCCCAGAAAATTCGCTTCAGAAAATTTGGTTGCGCTTAAAAAACCGCCCTTGGAATGTTTTATTCCTGAAGGCTTGTTCCCGGAAAAGTTTCTCACTGGAGATATTCGCTATAGAAAAATTCTCATCCTGAAAGTGTAGCCTCGAAAAAATCACTATTGTGTTTGATCTTCAAAGACTTGCTCCCGGAAAATGTCTTCTGCGAAAATTCCCTATGGAAAAATTCGCTTCCGGAAAATGTAAGCTTGAAATATGGATTGGGGATATGCGCACCGGAAAAATCTTTCCTGGAATAATTGTATAAAAAATTTTTGCCCTAGAAATTTAGCCTCGAAAAAATCGCCCTTGGAATATTTGACATTAAAAACACGTCTCGCCCTGGAAAAATTCGCTATGGAAAAATTCTTGTCCTGAAAATGTAAACACGATAAAATCGTTCTTGGAAAACTTTTCCCTGGAATACTTGGAAATTTAGTCTCGAAAAAATCTCCGTTAGAATATTTGACCCACAAACACTGGTCCTCACAAAATTTGCCCTGGAAAATTCGTTTCATGAAAATCGGCAATTCCTGTAAAAAATCGCCCTTAGAAATCTCCTGAAAATTCGCTAGGAAAAATCGCTCTCATAAAAAAGGCTCGTAAAATCTACCTTCGCTAGAATACTTGCGTGAATAATTCCAGAAAATTTGATGCGCTCTAAAAATCGCCCCTGGAATATTTGACCCCTAAAGACTTGTCCTCCCAAAAAAATATACAAGACAAATTCGCTATGAAAAAATCGCCTTTTTAAAATGCATCCGTACAAGATTCAACCCGTAAACTCAGACAGGGAATATTCGCCTCCACGAATTTTCCTCCCGTAATATTTGCGTGAAAATTTCACCCCCAACAATTTTCGGGAGGGTTCTTCCTGGAAAACGTCATCCTAAAAAATTCGCCTACCGAATAAAGTGGTCCTTGGAATATTTGACTCCCAAAAACTGCAAGGAAAATTGTTCTGGGAACATTTGTACGCTCCCAAAATTGTCCTTGACACATTCGTCCAGAAAAGGAAATTCATCTACAGAAAATGAAAAAATCATCTTTCGAATATTTGGTCCCCAAAAAATCGTCACAGAAAAATTTGCGTTGGAAGTTTATATGCCCTGGAATACTCGCTTAAAAAACTCGCCCCGGAAACTTGCGTGGAAAACTTCGCATACGGAAAATTTAGCCTTCAACAAAATAGGCCTTTGAATATTTGGCACTTAAAATCTCGTCTTCGAAAAATTCTCTATGGAAAAATTCTCGTCTTGAAAATTTAAGATCGATAAAATTGCTATTGGAAAATGTTCCCTGGCATGCTTGTGTAAAAAATTTGTCCCCAGAAAAAATCCGCCGTTGAAATATTTTACTCGCAAACTCTAGTCCTGGTAAAAATTTGCCTTGGAAAAATTCTAGATGGAAACAACTTTCAATATTTGCTGCACACCCCTCTGTGTTAATTTGAACTAACGCGAATTAACTAGAATTAACGAGAATTAATGTCAATTCACGTGATTCAATTTGAATTAACGTAAATTAATTTGAATTAACGTGAATATATTTGAATTAACGTGAATAAACGTGCATTAACATGAATTTACGTGAATTATTTTGTATTAATTAGAATTTGAATTTTTGGTGTACACAAAAAATGGTACTTGTTTCCCCCTAGGCCAAGTTGCATTGTAATTCGCTTTTAGTGTTACAAGAGACAATTGTTATACGTTTATATTTTCATTTTAAATCAAACATGGAGATTTTTACATTAGTCAATCGTGATAAATTCTCGCCCCTGCTTGTTTTCGCCATGGCCTACTCAACCTACGCGTAAATTCACCTCAGAGCAGAACCTATACCTCTTTCCATAAATTTCCATTTCAAGGTAATGATTTTATGTTAGTGAAAACTGATGTGTTCCCGGGAAGAAAATGTTAGCGACTTGACTTCGGCTTGATCACACAGTAATTTACTTACAGCTTCAACGCCCAAAACACTTCCGTGCAGATTTCCATAACGCAACAGCCGCAACCCTCCCGCATTCGTCGACACATTTCCGCCGATATTACAAGACCCTTTGGCCCCCAAATCCAAAGGCATCATCAGTCCTCTCTCTCCCAACGTCTCATCTAATCTCTCCAATACGCATCCCGCTTCGCACACCATTACCCCTGAAATCGGATAGTTCCATTGATCAAGAACGCTAAACATTTGAATATGTACCGGAAATATCATCGATACTGATAATTTTATTTAGTAAAGACGTTGATAAAACGACCTCGTCAAATACCGGCACCGATCCTCCAACTAAACCAGTATTTCCTCCCTGAGGGCAGACGGCTAACCTGTGCTGATTACAGAACGACAAAATGTTAGAAACTTCTTCCGTCGTTTGCGGTTTTAAGACGCACTGACTGTAACCTTCAAGTTCAATTTTAGATGACGCAATAGAAACACAAACCTACCTCGTACAGCTTTAATAAAATCCACGTTATACATTTCGCAATCGGAAGGATCGGTCAAAACCCTGTTTCGTCCCAGTAATCCGACAAAATAATCCAAATGCTTCTGACTGAGGGTGGCATAATCGCCGCGTTTTATGTGAGGGTATCGATCCTAAATTTCAAAATTGTCTTTATTGGGGGTGCACGAAACTTACCTTTGTCAGCTGAGGCAGAGATTTTGTAATGGTGGATTGTCTTCGAAAATTCGACAGAAGGGTAGTAGCACGCTTCAAACTTGCCATTCCAATCAAACCTAAAATTTAAAATTAATCGCATTAATATAGGGTGGCACTAGTTTTTTAAACATCAGCTGATTACAACGTGAATGTATATTTGGAGTTACCATATCATCTAACCTCAAGTGGCTTCGGTTTTAGATAAGATAGTAGTGGGATCGTATTTCGTTAACGAGAAAAATTAATTGTAATATAATGGGCTAAAGTTATAATTAAAACTAGTGTGGAATTACGGAGCTGTTCATATGTAATAATGATTTTTTGAATAATTATTTTTTAATTATTTCCTTGTGCTACACCTGTTAGTTAACTTCTGCCCAAACTTCTCCCAGTAGGAACTAAAGGACCAAAAGTTCGGAATGATTATTGCATATTTTGGATAAAAATTGTGCGAAACTGCCAAAAACTAGGAACTAAGCCATAAAAGTAAGTACCTACAGCTAAACTCAAGTTTACCTTATTGACAAATACAAAAATCTGGAAAATTCCTTTGTTTCGAAAGGAAGAATTGGTAATAGGTAGGCACCCAATATTTTCGTTTTGAAAAGTCATTATGGTCAACATGCCTCGAGAGATTATCATAAATTATCCCCCATACATATTTTAAAAAAATGACAAGTACAACCCTTAGAATTAACATTGATTTTTCTTATAATTACTCTGGTTCCTACTTTCAGAATCTTCAGAACAGTTAAAGGTACATGTTGCTAAATATGTACCGCAAATTGAATTGTGAAGACTCTAAAACTCCCCCGCATAAAATTTGAAACAAAATTGACATTAAGTTCCAGTCTGAATTACGTTTTTTGCAGTATGCTAAAATGACAGTTGGGAATAAATTTGAAAATACTTACGGAAAAATTCAGGAAACGGAGGTTCTTATTAAGATTTAAAAGTTCGTTCTGGGAACATTGAGGACTTTCTTTAAATTGTTTGTAAATAGCTTTCATTTCCGAGGATCTGTAAGTTATCTATCGAAACGATGTGGTTGATAAGAGGCGATTTTGGTAAAGATTGTTAGTTTTTTTTAAGATATTATGTGTCCACTATAAGAGAGATAGACGCTGATGTCCAGTATGATGTACGCACAATGTTGTAAACGATTGGGGGAGGGGGTAAACGGAAGTGTGATCTAAGTAGGAGATTGTCGAAGAAGTTAAAACTCGATTCTGGTTTGAAGGGTGGCTTCTCAAGCTGGTGTTGTGGGGGAACCTTTTGTTCAAGGTTCGTTTTCAAGTGACGGCAATTTGTAGGATAGTGTTGAACTGAATGGAGTAATTGAATGGGTTCAGAGGGAAAAAGAATCTGAAAGAGGATAACTGAGGTGTTAGGGGGTGGAATTAATCGAAGGGGATTACGTGGTCAATGGTAGTAGGTTTTCTTCTGATTTCCAGTAACGAGTTGGACTGAGTAGGTGTTTAAGACACAGAGTAACAGAGTAACAACAGTAAGGATATTAAAGTAATCATTCAGGATGGTTTTCTTGCTTCCAAAGACAAAGATACCTATCATCAATACAACATTTATTTAAAAAATCTTTTTACATTTCCCCATTTTATTTTTCATGCTTTCCGAATGCTACTGAGCAAATTTAGAATTTTTATTATGCAACAATTATAAATATTAAAATATTGTAGCCAATATTCTAGAAATTCCGATAGACACCGAGGCGCCATAAAAGATTAGTCATCGGCGATAAGAAACAAAAGCGGATGTGCAGCTTTCTTTCCGGGAAATAGGACGTGTTTGTTCGAGAACATTTTAGAATATTCAACAGCGTTCCGAAGCGTTAGAGATAGATGGGCTTTTGCTACATAAGCAAATCGAATTGTGCTTCAGGGACTTCCAACATCGATGCGCTCATCTTATATTATAAATTGTGTCATTACTGTTATACATTGATCCATTTTGTACTGTTATAAATTTATTGTTCGCTAATTGTAAAAAAATATTGGGCGCAACTTTAGTGCAAATAAAGCGCATTTTCTCTTTGTAGAATGACCTTCCTACGGCACTCCATTTTCGAGATATTCACACTTAAGTTTTCAGGTCGCCAGTCGTTTCGATCTCAGCAATAGATAATAGATATTATGTCTTGTCCAGACGATTCATTTTGCCTTTGTAAGTGCTCTCCTCCAACACTGTTTTCGAGATTTTCGTTTTGACATCACTAATAGATATATTTCGTCCAGAAGTTCCTATCGCATTTTGTAAGTACTCTCCTTCGACACTCCACTCTGGAGATATAACCGATCTCGATAAGGGGTCGAGGAGAAGGACTGGATTGTGGTTCGTAGAAATGAATTTCTTCAGTTGAGACCTTTCTTTAGAGTACCATGAAGGATAACCCCCCCCCCCCCAACTCCCCATATTGATAAAAGGTAAAGGAGAGGGGCGGTTGTCAGTAGTTAACAACAGTTCCTTCGGTTGATAATTTTAAGTAGAATGCCATGAAAGATAAAACCAACGCCTCCCCCTCACCGACCTCGAAAAGGAGTCAGTATACTTTGTGTAAACCAATCCTTGTGCAGAATACTGGACCATCTGTCTGTTTGTCCGTCTGTCTGTCCGTCCGGACCCACTTCTGAGGTTTTGAACCACTTTTAGGGGAATGGTCATAGAGTTATGGAATTTTTTGCAATATGTAACCTATACCTTTAAGATGTGCCACACGGCAATCAAGTTTCGCTGTCTCAAGGAGACCCCCCCCCCCATGAATTATTTCATTTCCTGGGATGCTGCTTTTGAATGTAAAACGTGCATAACTTTTACATGCGACAACCAACTGGTCTCATTAATACGCATGCCTTTAGCGATGTCAAGTAAAATTTTTGGAAATGGGGGGCGGGGGGGGTTAACACACGTTCTACGCTTCATGGTATTCTAATTCTCACCGAAATGAATTGGTTTGTACAAACTATAACTTTCCTACGCAACTCCTTTCCGAGATCAGTCGGAGCCGGAAGGAGGGAGGGGGCAGAAATTCATTTTATCTTTCATGGTATTCTAATTAATGGTCTCAACAAAAGGAACTGTTTTCTACCAACTACCGCCCTACTTTCTGACTCTTTATCAAAAGGGGGGAGAGGAAGGGAGTACTGGTTTTATCCTTCATGGTACTCTAATGAAAGGTCTCAACAAAAGGAATTAATTTTTACCAACCATGGCCTCCTCCTCGACTACTTATCGTGATCGGATATACATAATTCCTTATATCTGAAGAACAGATTATCGCAGGATGGTACTCACAAAGGGTCTGGAAGAAATATATCTATTGGTGATGTCAAAAATTTACGAACGAATATCTCGCAAACGCTTTGTCGGAGGGCAAAGGCAAAATGAATTGTCTGGACGAGACATTGTGTATTGGTGAAGTCTCCCCATTAATCAACTAACAAAAAAGAAAACATCGATATAGCATGCTCTATCTTATAACGCAACCATTTACTAAGCTATTTCGGTTTTAAAAAATGCCCTTTATCTGCACAAGAGTTGTGCACAATTTTGCTTCCATTTTCCCACAATACCCTCGTCGACCCTGAAGGATACACAACCTAGTTCATCAAAAGTCTATTTTGATTAATAATACTGTGAATTTACTTGAAAATGGTTTGCACTTATTCTTACACTTACGTTATGTAGTATATAATTCTGTAATCTGTCACTATAGTTTTCCTTTAAAAAATCCCCATTTTTAGGATAAAAGGCATTATAAAACAAGTGTACTGGGACTACTCTCATTCTTCTGCACTCAAATTAAATCTATTTATGTTCTACAAGTTCAGCTTAAGATCGTAGTACAACCCATTTGGGCTCAATCCACGTGATCTAAACTAAAAAAAGTACTTACAGTTTTTGGAAAAGTTTGCCCATTTTTGGGCCAAAAATTTCGCAAATTCAATATTCAATAAAGAAAAATTGTTAGGGACTCCAAGTTATATGTATTGTGAGAAATGAAATTGTAGAACAAGCCGGAGCGAAGTAGTGGGGAGAGTCATGCACTGCACAGAGTTAAAAGAATTTTAATATGGTCTTTATTAGGTACAGTGTCCGCCATAAGTTCCAGAATCATATTCGTAAATAGCAGAAGCGTTATTCCTTCGGAAAACTTCGCAGCATTTTTGTACAACTTTTGAGGAAAAAAAGTTATAACAGCGAAATCGTTAAAGTTAAGGGTATAGCATATTACATAAAAATTAAATACTTTTTAAGCACTTTCCAAATCTGTAATAAAATATGGGGTTTTAAACAAAACAAGTTTGATACGTCACGGGAATACAGCACGCCTTGCTGATCAATAATATTTTAGAAATATGGCAACGGTAGTTGTGTACAATTTTGCTCTAGAACTTTTTTCGGTATCTTTTATGGTAAGGAAAATATGATCCGATGGTTCTTAGATGCCACACCCTGTACCGACGTACGCCACTGTTCAAATTTGTTCCAATTTTTTTTTAAATACAATAAATATTGTAATTGCATTGACAAAACTAACAAAATACTAACGTGTTTTCAATGTAAAATTATTATTCCTTGAGTTTTCTCTTAAATTTCATTATGTAATATAATAGGTTTTTTAGGCTGCTATATCCAGAAAAGTGTAGATATTAATGAAAACTGGCAGTTCCCATTAAAAAATATATACCCTCTTAAGCCCCTCCCCCCTCTCTCTTCAAAAGAAGGAATACCACTGGTCACAAATTTAAAGTACGTAAGTTGGTAGCGAACTTTTTATAATCGTGGGATACCTACCATAAAAATCGTCTTTGCAAAAATTGTAGTTTTGAAGATATATTCAGTGTTCTAAACAAAACCTCCAACCCTGTAAGTATATAGGTACATACTCATTTATGCACGCCAATCTATAGTCAAGTCCAATAAACATGACCATTATCAAAAGTATACGCGACCTACTGACCTACCATTTATTACCTACTACGTTCAGGACCTATAAATTAAGATTTACAACAAGGGGCAATACCTATATTAAATTTTTAATACCTACCTTTTAAATATT